GGGAGTCTACACATCATGTCCATGTCTGTTATAGAACTATAACTGGAAAATGTTTCAGTAAACAGGTTAAAAAACGAAACTTGTGTCAGTGTCCTAATATACAAGGACCCAACTGTTGGACTCTTGTTGTATTTCTTAAACTGAAGAAGAGACTAGTTTTCAGCAGAAGACACTGCTGTCACATCGTTAGTAATGAACTGATGCTCTGCTTGGAGGAGCTGTCTGTCTCCTCTGCTGCAGACAATAAAATAGGCACAGCAAGGCTGCTGTGGTAAACCTGCAGTGTGTCCAGCACGAACTCAGTGAAGAACATTACTGAACAGAAACTGCGCAGACACAGTTGTGAACCTCACTCACTGGAAATCCACTTTTTTTCTTCCTGAAAACAAATTATTGACTCTTTTCATCAGATTAATAAAAACATCTGCTCGATTACAAGCACAAACTTTGTTCTCACTGATTACACACAAATCTTTCCCTCAAAACATGAAGCACGCCTATGGTGCAGCAACTTTGAAGCTAAATGACAAAAAACTCGAGCTGGAGTACGGTTTATTATATCGCACAACCTTTTCATGCACCAATGAAATAAAGAGCTGTGGTAAAAGAGAGATAAGATCCAGAGGTTACTGGTTATAATAAAACTCTTTGATATTAGCTCTGACAGTTGAAAGTATTGACAATCATAACAAAATCAAGAAAATGTGCATTTCTTTCATAACTGTGCTTCTGCTTGCTTCTCATTAGCGTCATCACAGATTAACAGTAGATACTGAAGGGTAGCGTGCAGCTTCCTCTGTCTTATGTCTTCTCTCTATTATCAAAATAACTCTTCTTTGTAACAGACCTAATCTGCCCACATATCATCTTGTGCACTTTTAGGAAACCTGAATGTGACCTGAGACATCATCACAGGTTTCATTCACGTTCTAGCATCAATCATGTATGCCGGCTGTGTTTAGCTCTTGTTACCTTTGCAGCTATAGAGGAGCTGGGCTTCTCCAGCAGATCCCACAGCTTCTGCCTCTTGTCAGGACAGCAGCCCTGCTCCTCCTCCTCTCCCTCCTTGTCCCTCAGTGTCTCTGCCTCCCTCCTCAGTTCCTCGTTCATCTGCTCCTTCTTCTGATGGTAGCGTGCCTGGCAGCAGGACTCCAAGTAGATCTCATCAATGCCCCAATAGTCCAGCTCCTGTCCAAAAGACAGAGCGCACATCTCCTCCATCATGTGAAGCTTTCCTGTTCTGTAGAAGTTGAGGATGGAGGAGAAGGCCACCGGGTGCCGGTCGAAGAAGTATTCATTCTCAGTGAGGGTGTAGTCATCACAGATCTCCAGCAGTGACTCGTGGGTGTTGCAGTCCCTTAGCCGTCCCAGACGAGTTCGGGGCAACCGGTCAAGTGTTCTCCATAACACTTCATGTGTAAGCCCACCGACGTTGAGTCTGACCCGCCGTGAGCGGGCCTTAGTGCGGATGATGTCCACTGGCTCAGGGGGGAGCAAAGGAGCTGCAGCGGATCGGGGGTTGACTTTGGGCGTGCTAAAACTCACCTTGTCTGTCATGTTTGCTTTGACTGCTGTCTTACTGTGGGGGTGGGTCACCTCAAACACAGGCTTTTGCAGTGTGTGCGTATGTGCGTATGGAGCTCGATAAGATGATGGCGGTGGCTGGTCAGGGGAAGATTGCCCAGGCCCACCAGGCCCACCTCTCTGTGTTCAGGCCAGCAGAAGTCCTGGTAAGATCCATGGCTGGAAAAAGAGACATGAGCCATTACACCAGTACGACCAGGTTATTCTATAGAAGATCTCCTACCGAGGAGAATAGATTAAATAAATTAATAAATACAGAATTATTCTGAAGTGGCACAGTATAAATAAAATTGAATACACGCTTTTTATGTGCATATACATTCAGGAACTCAACAACTGGAGCACCGAGTTTGAAGGTGTTTCTCGGACACTTTGCCGAGCTGTCACTTCCCTGTGCTCCCCGTGCTGTTGTTTTTATCTCATGTCTGGTCAGCTGGAATCTAAAATTGCTAAAAACACACGTATGTGCGTTACATATGTAATGTGGGATTGTAGAATTTACTGCAGCTTATGTGCTCCCAGTAAATGATTTTGCTTTGTTTTAAAGCAGATAGATCGCAGAGTTTTACAGCAAATTAAAATCATATCACAATAGTTATTTTGAAAAGCACATCACATAATCTAATATTTGCTAGTCCAGGAAGTTTTACTATTTTAATTACAAAGAGTTCTCTGATGAAATCACTAAACAGGGAAGAGCCATTTGAATCCACCTCCAGGGAATATCTGGAATCTAAACAGTGCTTTTTAGAAAAGGGAGCCATTATGCAGTTAGTCTTAGAGCTTATGCTGCCATTAGAAGTCCTTTGACTCTTATCTGATTGTGTAATGGAGTTCCACAAATCCCAGTAGCGGCATAAGGCCTCGTCTCCCCTGGCTCAAGTCTACCTTAGTTAATTATAGACCGTCTATCTTCTCCTGGGACACTCATAGGACACAGAGCTGCTACGTCACGACTAGAAGAGCATCTTTCGCGTTTCCCCCCCAGAGTCCGGGAGAGCTGATGTCTGCAAACAAGCACTGACTTCATTAGAATTATGAGATTGTGCGCTCACTAATGATCACGTAAACTACTTTGAACTGCTTCCGCGTGTTTCTTCTCTTCCTTTTCTTGCGGACACCAGCTGCAGTCCAAAGTGAGAACGGTCCTTTCTGTCAAGCGATTCAAGAGACTCAGGCTTAACTCGTGATTATGCGCGAATGCACTCCAAGTTTACAAAGTACAGAAAGAAAGACAACTGCTGCGCTCTCCTCGCGTCAGTGATGACACATAAAAAACGCTCGTGGAGCTTACCTCTGTGGAGCAAGCTGACATGGCGGAGAAGTCCAACTTTTGGCTTCCCAGGAGGTCCCACCATAGTACCCTGTGAGTTACCCCAGCTGCTGCTTCATATCCCCGCCGGCCATTAATTCGTGAATCCCGTCGAGAACACGCAGACCGGCCCGTGGCCACATTTTGCCCCAAAACACACCGTCAGAGCAGGAGGGGAACACCCGAGCGCTCACGGAATATCAAATACGAGCGCGAAGCGGCGGGGTCTGGGAGCGTCGCCGGACTGAAGGAGGAGAAATAGAGGAACAGAGGGGGGTGGGGTTGGGGGTGGGGTAATTGGATTGAGGTGTTCAGCACCAAGGACAGCTCCAGATCAACGGCTTGCAGCTGAACTGCTCGGAGCGTCACTGAGCTCTTCTCTCAGTGTTTGACAGACCCGTGGAGACGCTACGGAGAAGCTCCTGGTTCAGTCCGTTCATTCGGCACCATTTACAAGGCTGTGCAAGTTTTTCTACAGGAACCTCAAACTGAAGGGAACGTGTCCACGAAATACGTCACAAGTCACAACACACACACGAATCACAGAAACACGTCATGGTAAATGAATGAATGTTAATCATGTGCGTCTATATCTCATAACACGAGAACATTAATTCAACAACTAATCATGTCTAAGCTGTCATGAATTATGCAATGTCAGCACTGTGGCATCTTAGTCTGGCCTGTAGTTTCTTTGGACTAAAAAAACTCAGCTTTTATTGTTTATTTCCAAAAGATTAACTAGAACTAAAACTTCTCTATGACTGCACTGTGTGTGTGTGTGTGTGTGTGTGTGTGTGTGTGTGTGTGTGTGTGTGTG